ACAGCGGCAGCAATCGTCTCTCTATACAGCATACCCCTGGGCCCATCAAAAACAGTTCTTCGAGCTTCCTCAGCCACACTTCTAAAACATTTCCAAATATCCTCATCAACAACACAGTCGGGCTCTTCCCCAACGACCATCTTATACACAGCTAACAGCACTTGAATAGTAATCAAATGCCACTGTGCGCCATACCCTCCCTTGATCAATTCTAAGCAAACTTCCGCAAGGTGCGGTACCTAAAAACTACAACTCCAGTCGAATCGTTTTGAGATAGTATTTGCCGTGCTTACATTTAGTGACAGTTCTGGGTAATCAAGCACCATCGCCGCGTCCAAAACCAACAGGGACTCCTCCTCCTCCTTTATACCAGAGAAAACAGTCTTGCGAAACTCCTTCACTTTTCCACACATAACACCGACGTCAACATAGTGTCCCATTTGAAGTATTATGAACTTAGCCAGAGCCTTGCTACAATACTCATGCGGTGATCGAGACGACGGTGAGAGTAAAGGCTCCAAAGCATACATCGATAGCTTGGTGCTCAGAAGGTCCAACAGAGGGCTAATCTGACAGGGCGAAACGATCGAGTTAAAACGACGACAATCAGCTTTGGAATAGATTCTCGCTCTCCTCAGCTGAGTTTAGGAGATTCTTCACCAATTGTGGTAGAAGTGTACAAAAATCACGGGGGTTCCCCAAAAATTTCCGCAGATTTTTCTTACTACCACCTATACATGTGGTTGACCACGTGCATATTTTTCCCCCACATATGCACCCAACTGCAGGTAGTAGTATTTGAAATTCACCAGCTGATATTCCCGGGTCAACTTCAGCATTTTGAGCTCTATCTCGTCACACTATTATCACAGTCTCTACCTATTCTTCATAATGAAAACAATCATTAGTATTATCGTAAACCCATGCTAAGTGCATTCAAGCAAAACGCTGATTCGACGGCTACACACAATCCCAATATCTTACAATGGAATCTCATAAAGAGCGATAACATCACCAACGCGAGAAACAAGTTACTCATAAACATCCACATGAATCGGTCGAAGATAGGGAATTTCGAGGTAATTCTCATTGGTCCACTTCTCGTATGAAATCATAGCAAACATACATTCTTCCAACACTGATGTCCCCAACTCACATAGGGGTTATCAACGGTGAATATATCAGCAATGTAAAGAAGCACATCCACAACATCATCAACAATAGTTTGAGCCTTCCGTTTAGAGACGCTCAAATCGCCCAATTTCTGCCACTGTTCTCGCAGATCCTTACTAAGTAGCGAGAAATATCCACCGCTATTATCGACCTGAAAGTAGACTACTTTTTACTAAGGTAAAGTTATGAGAATTTATGTATTTTCCAATAACGAAAAATCCGCTTCGTTGTAGTTGTGAAGAAATATGTGTTATTTCCCGAGATTTCTACCAGGAATCGATGTGAAACTATATCGCATAAACAATGGAGTTTCACCCTTGTGATATGAAAAAAAACACTACTGAAAAATATATCTCACGACTACTGCTTATCGCGAATATCGCGTTTTTCACATATTATTACGCCACTTCACGTAAAACACGAAACCTCTTGGACCCGTGAAAACAACGACTTTCTCACTATCATTGGAGTTTCACTTTTTTTACGTGAAGTAGCATAATACTCGGTGAAAAACGCGATATTCGCGATATGCAGTAGTCGTGAAATATATTTTCCCTAGTATTTTTCATATCACTAGGGTGAAACTCCATCAATCTCGAAAAATTAACGCTCATTTTTCCACATGAAATCATACCAACAAAAACGCAGCAGCAATTCTCACCAGGAATTCCATACAGGGTTGATCAGCGACTTGATACACCGCCAAAGTCAGCGTTCGCACTGACGTCCTTACCATTGCATCAGCGCTGTTATAAAGGCGTATAGGGACTGTGTAAAGAACCTTAACATACCACTCCTTGAGAACAACATCATAACAATAGTAAATACTCACAAAATGATCACTGTGAAAGAACAGTGTGAGCATCTCTCGATCGAGGCGAAGGGCGAGACCCTTTACAAAGGTTATATAATACGACAACAGCTCCTCATCTGAAGACCACTGACAGGGCGCGCCTGACAATTAACAACAGAGATGATGATGGACCAATTTTAATAAGGAGTAACACTCATTTTCCGTGTGTGT